AAGCCGCCGTAGGTGCCGAAGATCTGGATGCCCAGCCGATCGACGTGTTGGGCGTGAGCGCGTTCGGGTCGTCGTCGCCGTCGAAGAAGAAGTTGCCAAAGGGCGGCTCCGACACGCAGTCGCGCCAGACGCTCGTGTTCGTCACGGGGTAGGTCACGGGCGAGATCTGGGAGATGCACAAACCGCCCGTGGCCAGCGCCGCGTCGTGGTAGGACCCGATGACGAGCATCGACGTCGGCTGGACCATGACCAGGAGCGTCGCGAGGCACAGAAGATAAATGGGCTTCTGGGACTTGCCCCGCTGCTTCCAGTAGGCGAACTGGATGATGTTCGTCATCAGCGCGAGCATGATGGCGACCTGGATGCCGTGGAACATGGCCACGAGGCCTCCGGGGACCTGGCCGGCGGCGACCCCGAAGATCGCGCCGACCAGGATGGGCCAGCATCAGCTGCCCACGATGGCCTAGGGGAAACAAACGTTCCTTTTGTCGCAGGTGGGGCCGGTCGGACGCGGGCGCGCGGACCGGGATGGCCATGATGAGGCTGCAGACGCTCACGGCGAGCGACTGCTTCGCCTCGCCATCGAGCTTGGCGGCCAAAGGCTGCCCGAGCTCGACGGATCCCGCGTCTCAGTCGAGGCACTCCTCGTCGGCCGCGGGGCCGGCCTTCGTCTCCTCCCCGTCCAGGAGCTTGTCCTCGAGGCCCATGCTGTCGCTCGGAAGTCACTCTGGGAGCGTGTCGAGAGGGCGCCAATCACAAGAGGCCGCGGAGGGCGAGGGCAGCGTCGTTTCCTCAACGTTGAGGGAAACATTGAAGTTTGCTGAGGAGGTGATGGGCCGCCAAAAGCTCGCCACCGCGCTGCTCGCGCCGCTCGCCTGCGCGCTCGTCGCGCCGCCGCCCGCGAAACACCCGCGCGCCGCCCGGCGGCTCGCCGCCGGCGCCTTCGCGTCGCCGGAGCGGCTCTACCCCAACTCGTATGTCATGCCCACGGGCCAGCGCTACGCGACGGCGCAGACGCGCGCCCAGTGGCTCGCGGACTGGCGCGCCATCACCGAGTGCCTCGCGCGCTTCCCGACGGCCACGCCGCAGAATTTGGACCGCACGCAGCTGGCCGTGAGCCTCAACGCGGCCTGCACCGACGAGCTCGCGTTTATGACGGGCGGCGCGCGACGGCGGCCGTCGCCCTTCGCCATCACGCTCGTCGACGCCCTCTTCGTCGCCGCCTACTGCGACGCGCCCAGGTACGCGCGGCTCCGCGAGTACGCGCTCGCGCAGTACGTGCCGCTCCGCATGGGCGACGTCTGCGAGCGCGTCGGTAGCCCGCGCGTCGCCGAGGTCGCGCGCACCGGCGGCGCCTGCTTCGACCAGAACCTCTTCGACCCGGCGACGCCGGAGTACGAGGCCATGGTCAAGTGCCACAACGTCGAGTACCCCGTCAAGCACCCGGACTGGCGCGCGGCGGGCCTCAGCGAGGACGCGCAGCTCCACGAGCCCTGCGACTAACTTCTTTGCTTTCTTGGTTCGTTTCTCTGTGCCGGCGGCCGGCGTGTGCGCTCCGCGCGCGAGCCGCCGGCAACAGCTCGATCGCATACTTCAACTTGAATGTTGACGCGTATCGAATCGCGATTAATTATATCCGATGGCAAGGATGCGCCTCGCTTTGCTCGCCCTGCTCGCGACGTCGAGCGCGTTGCGCTGGCCCGGCGCCGCGCCGAAGGGCGCCGTGCGCGGCGGCGCCGAGGACACCAAAGACGCCGACCTCTTCGAGGAGGAAGCGGCGCCGGAGCTGAGCGAGGAGGAGCAGGCGACGAAGCGCTACGCCGACGCCGTCGCCGCGGCCAAGGCCCAGGGCGGCGCCTGCGCGGCGCTCGACGCCTTCGAGGCCGAGTCGCTGAAACCCGACCGCAACGAGAGCCTGCTCGCCGTGCACTGGATGGACGTCAAGCTCCAGA